TCTTCTGTTGCCCTAACTCAAGGTAGGAGATGACCCACCTGTTCACACTGTGGACTTGTGGGCCACACTGTGGACAGGTGTTACTGTCTGCATGGCTACCTACCGGGCCTCAAGCTCAAGCCCAAAATACACTCACCTGTTTTTAATGATGGACATGTCCAAACACAAGCCCAAGCCCGCAATGCCTCAGCTCAGTCTCGGCCCACTCCTGGAACCAGATCATTTAATTCAACTGGCCCTCAATCCAGGCCCGGTTTTTCTTCTACCCACTAAGCCTTGGCCCACGAAGAGTTTTTTCCAGAACACAGGTCTTCTTCCTCTTCAGGCACACACCCGATTATGCGACCAGCGCATAATTTCATTGCCTCCGTCGACGCCTGCTTACCGGCACTTAATTTTGCTGCTCCTGTCGATGATTTAAGCACATCGCAAATTCAGAACATTATTGCCCACTTAAGTGCACGTCTCCACCACCCGAGCTCCACCATCTCACCGGACAGCCTCTCTCACCCCACCAATCATGCCACTTCTAATCTTCACGAGGCAAGTATATCCTCCACACCCTTCTGCCTTTCCAATTTCACACACACACTTACCTCTAAATGCTCGATCATTGACTTTGGAGCCACACATCACATATGTTGCACACCCACCCTTTTCACAAATCTTAAACATATTGCACCCATCCCAGTCACTTTACCAAATGGTAGTTCAGTGCTAGTCAATCAACTTGGAAATGTACTCCTCACCGATACCCTAACTCTACATGATGTTCTATTTGTTCCTCATTTTTCCTTTAACCTTGTCAGTGTCAGCATGTTGACCACCACCCATAACTGTACGGTTAATTTTTCTCTTCATTCTTGTGTCATCCAGGACCGCACTCATGACTTATTGATTGGGAAAGGTAGACACATTAGCAACCTCTACTATTTAATTACTACATATTTTCTTTTTCCCGCTGTTCATTATGTTTTCACTAACTCTAAAAGTAGCCTATGACACTTTAGAATGGGTCATCATTCCTATGTAAAACTTCAGTATATTAATAAAGATTTACAGACTTCGAATATTTCTCATTGCGAAATTTGTCATTTGGCTAAACAACGTAAATTGTCTTTTATTTCTAAACATAAATTATCTGACCATCCATTTGATTTAATCCACATCGACATTTGGGGTCCCTTTTCTACACCCACTATCAAGGGATACAAATATTTTCTTATAATTATTGATGATTGCGCTCGAGCTACTTGGGTGAATCTCCTTCGTCAAAAGTCCGAAGTTCTTACCATTTTTCCTGACTTTTATACTTTCATCCTTAAAAAATATAAAACTCCCATTAAATCTATGAGATCTTACAATACGCATGAGTTGAATTTTCATTCATTTTTCATGTCAAAAGGCATTGTTTCTTATCATTCATGTGTTGAGACTCCCCAACAAAACTCTATTGTCGAACGCAAACATCAACACATCTTAAATGTGGCACGTGCCTTACTGTTTTAATCCCATGTTCCCATTGTCTATTGGGGCGATTGCATCTTGACTGCTGTTTACCTAATCAACCGTACACCTTCCCCCTTGTTGTCTAATAAAACTCCATTTGAACTATTAACTCACAAAAAACCATCCTATGATCATTTGCGTACCTTTGGTTGTCTATGCTACTGCTCCACTCTCGATAGTCATCGCCATAAATTTTCACCTCATTCTAGGGCTTGTGTCTTCCTCGGCTACCCTTCGGGTTACAAAGGATACAAACTTCTCGACATCGAGAACAATTAAATCATCATCTCTCGTAACGTTATTTTTCATGAACATATCTTTCTGTTTCTTTCATCCCACTCACCTAGGAATTCACAGTGATCTTTTTCATGACCGTGTTTTACCTCTTCCTCTCCATACACCTACATAATCATCAGTTTCTCTTGATACACCGCATGAGTCTTCCCAAACACTATCATTTCGCCCTTTGCGTGTAACACGACCATCTTCTTATTTGTCTGACTATCACTGCTACCATACATATATACATGCACTTTATCCCATTTCCTCATTCCTTACTTATACAAAACTTACACCTCAGTATCAAAACTTTATTTGTGCCATTTCCTCCCACACTGAGCCTACCAACTTTTCTGAGGCTATCCAGTCCGATGTTTGGATGAACGCTATGAATGTGGAGCTATATGCCTTAGAGAACAATAACACTTGGTCTATTGTTTGCCTCCTACCTGGGAAGAAAACTGTTGATTGTAAGTGGCTTTATAGAGTTAAATATCAAGCCGATGGGACCGTAGAAAGACACAAAGCCTGTCTGGTTGCTAAGGGCTACACACAACAATTTGGCATTGATTTCATTGACACTTTCTCTCCTGTTGCAAAATTGGTTACTGTTAAAATTTTGCTTTCACTGGCTGCTATCCATGGTTGGAGTCTGACTCAGTTGGACGTCACCAATGCTTTCCTTCATGGTGACCTTCATGAAGAAGTTTATATGACTATTCCTCCAGGCTATTCTCGTCGAGAGGAGGAGACTCTTCCACATCAACCTGTTTGCCGACTACACAAGTTAATCTATGGGTTGAGACAGGCTTCCCGACAGTGGTTTCATAAGTTCTCACAAGTATTACTTCAAGAAGGTTTCCATCAGTCACAATGTGACCACTCCTTATTTGTCAAGCAGCAGGGTAATGTTTTTCTAGTATTGTTGGTGTATGTTGATGATATTGTTCTTACTGGTAATGATAATCAGGTTGTCGAAGAACTCAAAGTTACATTCAAATAAAAATTTAAAATGAAAGATTTGGAGGACTCTCCGATATTTTATTGGACTTAAAATTGCAAGAAATGACACAGGAATCACCTTATGCCAAAGAAAATATGCGTTGGATCTGTTAACTGAAATTGGATATCTTAGTTGTAAACCCTCATCTACTCCCATGGAACCCAATATTACGATGTCTAAAGATGACGGAGAACTTCTGAGTGATATCACAAGTTATCGGTGACTGATTGAAAAATTATTGTACTTAACCATCTCTCGCCCTGACATATGCTATTCTGTCAATAGAGTGAGTCAGTTTCTTGCTGCTCCCAGGACCAGTCACCTTCAAGCTGCTTTACGGATTCTTCAGTATATCAAGAGGACACCTGGACAAGGTCTCTTCTTCCCTTCATCATCTATCATGCAGATTAAGGCATTTTCTTATGCTGATTGGGGCACATGTCCTGACACTAGAAGATCTCTAACTGGTTATTGTGTTTTTCTTGTCTTCATTAGTCTCATAGAAATCAAAGAAACAGCAAGTTGTATCTCGGTCATCTGCAGAAGCCGAGTATCATTCCATGGCCAACACTACTTGCGAAATAGTATGGATTCTGAAATTATTACGAGATTTAAGGGTGCAACATCAAGGTCCTGCATTACTTTACTGTGATAATCAGGCAACTCTACACATTGTTTCAAATCCAGTATATCATGAGAGAACAAAACATATTGAACTTGACTGTCATTTTATTCGTGAAAGGATTCAAGATGGTACCTTGAAGACGATACATATATCCACTCGGAATCAATTGGCAGATTTAATGACAAAGGTACTTCATCCTACGCAGTTCGACAATTTATTGAACAAGATGGGTACAATAAATTTGTACTCTCCATCTTGAGGGGGAGTATTAAGATTAATTTGTGTTAAGCTGAAATTATTTTGTTGTTTGTAATGTAACCGTTTTTGTTTTCTTCTGCCATTTGTTGTACAATGGCAGTATATATTCCATTAGGCTGTAAAAGTGAACTCAGAGAGTATTTTTTTCTTCATCATGTTGCTCTCTCTTTTGCCCTCTCTTCTCTTTTTCTAACAATATTAAGAGAAATAGCCACTCAAAAATGGCCAGATGTTGCAAAAGTTTGGACAAGTAGTTGACTAAAGCCAAATGAAACTTGGACTACTTCCATAAGGGAAGTTGTAAAGGTAAGTAGTATTATGCATTTTAATTTCAGTTTATCTTAATATATTATAGTTATTTCTTATCCCTTCAGTCATTTTGTAATAGTATTTATTTATGAGATAAAATTAATAAAATTCACTTTATGGATGATCAAAATGGTCAAGGCAACTTCTTAGCATTACGAATAAACTCCCAATTGTAATATTTTTTTTGAATTCGCTAAAATGTTTAATTAAACTTAATGATATTTAGTATTTTTTTCTACACACATGTTTTTGTTTTAATTTAAATATTCTAAAATATTCTTTTAAATATTTATTTTTATATTAAACAATTTAAGATTGTTTTGAGAAGAATAGTATTAGAATAACTATTTTCAATATAAAAAATAAATTCAATCACAAGTTGAAATTTTTTAAAAAAATAGATTATATTACTTATAGAAACTAACATATAACTTAAGGAAGAAAGAAAAGCCTATGGTGAATAAGAAGAAGCTTGATATACAAAATTATTTCACCATCAACATCTAAATAGCCGCTCTATTTTCATGTGGTGTTGGGGGGTGAAATAATTCTTTCCATCCTCAAATTAACCCTAGCATTAAATAGCTTT